CAAAAAAAAAAAAAAAAAGTCTACAAATCAAATAGACTTCTCTCGCTTTGTGAACAACTGTATGAGCAGATCAAAAGGCAAAATATCATTCTATTACTACACGAGTGAAAACAACATATGCTTAAAGAAAGAAAGAAACTGGATATTCATACTGTAGTTGCCAATAGCTGATGTTGATAGCCAATTACTACACCTTTACATTATTAATGCGGCATAATTTGTTTGCATGTACAAAATGCGCACAGTTATATCAAAATGTTTCATTTAGCAACATGTGTGAAATGTCTGTGATTAATAACAAATTAAATTTTAATTAATTACAATTTGTTTTCCTTTTGTTTAATTGCACTTGGCACCGGGCAGCGGGCACCGGGCTGTCTTCATTTAACAAGTCATCTACAACACCTGGCCTAATTACAAAAAAAATGTCATTAACAGATACATACATATGTATGTATAGTATGCGTTATCTCTTTGCCTTCAGATAAAGAGTGGTTCAAAATAAATTTCTGTTGCTCTGTGTGTCATTTAAATTTTCCCCTAAATCTGTATATATTTTATTACTTTTGAGTAGTATCATATTATACTACCGTATCGATTTACCTCTAGCTATGCATTAAAATAAAAACAAGTAAGAAAACTCTAGTCGAGAGTGCTCGACTAGAGACTACCCTGAACCAAACAAATTAAAATGCCCATTTAGTATGACTAAAATTTCAATTTCGATGTATTTACGCACGCACGCATAAACACGCATTGGCTGCAGTGGTGGCTTACTATGGGAACTTAATTGTTTAATAACTTTTGTTGTTGATAGACGATCTTCATGAAACATTCAGATTATGATTATACCATGGATATGCATTTGCCAAAGCACAAGCCTCTAGTATTTTAAATACGCTTTTTAAAATATGGTGGTGAAGGGGTGAATGTAGGGGTGGGAGGTAAATTTTGACGAAAATCGAAATTGTATAAAGTACATATGAATCTAAATTAAAAATTTGGCGACTCTAGCCTTAAAGATGTAGCAGATATAAATTTATTACTGGTTTTCCATATTGTTTTTTATCGATAACAAAATAACGAGGCAAGTTATCTCTGCTCGTTGCCCTGACACACCTCCTTCTCTCTGTTACATACATTTCAACAAAACCATTATACCCGGATTTCCCATTGAAAATGGGTTCAGGGTATAAAAAGATCTTCAGTGCCCTTGTAAACTAAACTCATGTATTAATATATGTGCTAGTATCAAACAAATTGTAGAATGATTGGGAAAAGCGCATTCGGCTTGCACAGAATTTAGAAAATTAATTTGATTAGAAAATCAATTTTAAAACGTAGACTATTTATACACACATGTGTGAATTTTTGACTTGGCACTGAATGCGTAATGACGAAGGAATTCCCACCTTAAATCCTAATATGAGCAATTTTTTAACCGTTCGCTTAAAACCGACTGACAGATAAAACAGAATTTGTTCACATATTGAGTGTACACTTATTATAAATCACTCGAATTAATTTTCATTTGCAGCACATTTACAACTTCATTTCATTACTCAACATTGAGCTGGTGGATGACTTATATATTAATATTTATATACCATGAAAATGAGATATTAAGATATATTGCTATAATGACTGTAACAATGAGAAGTGTCAGACCCCATAAAGTATATATACTCTTGATCAGGGTGACTGGCTGACTGGATATAATGATTTTTGTAATATCGTTCTGCCGAGAGGATCGAAAATTTAAATAGTATAGGGGTATATGCAGCATCTATAGATATAATATATTTTATATATTCTGATATTCCAGAAACGAAATAACTACTATATATACCTCTTGTAATCCCCAAAATCTCTAT